TCCGCTATCACGGACTCTCGCTAACGAGGACACTAACTCAAGTCCCCACCATGTGCAACATTAAGGGAGCTGACTGTAGATGCAAACAAGCAACATAAATCCAGCGATGCAAATGAAGGAGAGCTGAGGTTTTTTTACGCACTCGGTGTCTAATATTTTCTTTAATATTTTCTTTTTTTTTCTCTTTAAAAATAAATGATCAGATCAGGTTCTTAGTGATACTTTCTAGCACTGACATTTAAAATCATGGAACATAATGGATAGCGGGTTCGACGTGGATCCTTCCCGTTTAGCTGGCTACAACATTTGCTCTAGTTCCGAACCTAAACTGCTTACTTCCCTAGCATACTTTTAGTGATTGATTGTAAGCTAAGCTAGGCAAGCCCAACCTAACTATCGCCCACTTTCCCGCTTCCCCCGAAAAAAGAAAAGAACAACTGATCGTAGTTTAACCCCAACAAATCGTTGTAGCTTGAAGATGTCTTGTACTGTACTTGATGGAGTATCTTTGGAGACTTTGTACAATAATACCAACGTGAACTGAAACCTGGCAAATAACAGGATGTTTTTATTGTAAGACCTCTATTGTTTATGCACTACTATTTCCATTTATTTATTTCCATTTAAAGCCCTTTCGGTGTACTACGTGTTGATAAATTTCAGTTTTAAGCCTGTAATGACAAACGAGAAATACCGGATTTTCACCTGCGATATGCTGCTTCAAGCACAAGGGCAAACATAAGAATCTTGCGTCGGGAAAAACCAACGCCGTGCAGGCATAAGAGTCAAGTGCAAACAAAAGCTAACGCAAACAAAAGACAATGACGTCAAGTGCGCCATATTGATCTCCCAAAACAATGAAATGGTGGCCATGTTGGTGTCCATCCTCGGGGACCCAGGGGCGTTTAGTTGGGTTGGGACAAAAGCCAGCGAACGCAGGAGCCCATAATCTGGAGCGAGCAACTTCCATGCGCTCGTGTCACGGCTTTTTCACGGACCAGTTTATTTTTAGAACGGTTTTTGCACGAAATTTGAATATCTTTTAAATTCCACAAACCAGTTAGCAAACCTACAGACCTAAACTGATATTTTTTGCCTTTTAATAACGTTTAGTTGTCCTTCTTGATATCTTATACCTTTAATGCGCTCATAGCAATTGGTGGAGATTTCTATTTTCGCTGGAAAAAATTCCCTAAAATGTGTCTAAAAATTAATTGGTCCGTAACTGGAAACGCCGTGACACAGGCCTAATATGGGGGATGTTCGCTGCTGATTATGGGCTCCTGGCGAACGCCGTTTCTTCCCGCCGATTATGGTTGGTGTCTTGTGGGAGTTGAACCTTTTTCATCTGTAAAAACTTTCTTTTTTCCAGTTAAATTGCATAGCTACAGGCGTCGTGAGTGAAGACGTGCTATATTTCGAAACAAGAGAGACATAACAACTGAGGACTGATTCGCCCATCTAAGGTAATTCAAGATAGTCTTTGTTTCTGGATTCCACGCTTTTGATTCCGAATTTCAGGTACTGGATTCTGGATTCCTTGTCCTTGAGCTGAATTTCTGGTTCCATAACTCAGGATTCCCGATTTAAAACTTTCCGGGATTCCGGTATCCGAATTGTTTAAGTTCCGGTTGTTTCCTTTTGTTTCTAATTACATCATGAGGATCTCAACAATAGGGGTAGAAGTAACTGCAAGGGGTATACTCGTTGTTTATAACTCTCTCCGTTCAGACAATTTTCATACGTCAGAATGTGACTTTAAAGACCGTAATTCTAATCTGCTTATCTTAGAATCGATTGATTTTTTTCGAAACTTTAAAGAAAAAATTAGTATTCACCATTTTCACATACCCCATATAAGGCACCTTGTTTACACCCCAAAATTTTACATAACCATTGTCTTGGCTTTCTCTTGGGTTGACTGTAATACCAGGAGAAATTGGAAACAATGGTAATTCAAAAGTTTGGTGGGTAAACAAGGTGCATTATAGTCTATGTCAGGAGCCCATCAATGGGTTCCTGTCCATGTGAAAGTAGTGAATTATCGAAGCCTGAAATGATTCTTTCTCCTCTTTTAACGCAAAGATCCAAATTAACAAGGCTAGAAATGCAAATGTTTCCAGCACGTGCAATACTGATGAGCAACACCTTCATTGTGTTTGTACTAAGATAGCCAGAACGCATTCTTACGTGAACGCACCGTGACTCGAGCCCTATTTTACCTGTAGTCACGTTACCCTTGGCAACGGTACCAGGCTGCAACCTCGTCCCTTGGCCAGGGCTTATACCTCAGAAACTGTGGGGAAAAGCACTGGAGACGAGGCTGTAACAGACCGCTGAGCAAGGGTAACGCGCTTTCGGGAGAAGGGTGAGCCTCGAATTATGATTGATTTATTGCATTGTATGCCCTCGTTTTGATTGAGTGGAATATGGAATGAGTTTGCATTTGAATTTGCTTTACGCGTGCCAAAGTGTGCGTGAACAACGCCACGAAAAGTTTTGGGTTTTCCCTGCCAGCGTGTGTCTTGCGCCCAGTATGGAAAAACTGCTTTTTTAACCAAACTTCGGTCGAATTGACAGGTAACTGTAACTACAGAGTAACAAGTAACAGCCCGAGCTGCTGAAATAGCAAATCACAACAAATACAAAAGTGAGCATGCAACAAAGTTCTTTTATTGACCCCAAATTGGACTTTCAGTCGTTTATAACTGCAGACTCTTCCTTAGTTGTTTTAAGTTGTATATTTCTTCCAATCTAAGATCATCAATTTACTATTTGAATCTCTTAGCAATACTAACTAGTAACTTGTGTTAAGAAGCAGTCCACCTGTTTAGGATTGACTTTGTCCTTGCGTTGTTAACGGTGTATATTACGCAGTGTTACCAAGTTTATATTAAACATGTCACTAAAAGCCACAAACCGTACGTCGGAATTGAGCTTGGTGAATTAAGGAAAAATAAGTTAAGAAGATTCATTAGCATAGGGACCGATGCTAATCCAACTTAAATTATTTGCACTGATTGGCTCGAAAATTAGTTGGTGAAGAGCGAACAGAACATTTTTCAAAGAAAACTCTAGTTTGTGTTACAGACTTCTTTTTTAATAAGAAAACAAAGGTAAGTAAATTGAGGCGTCCTCAAACTTCGGGGATTTCTGAACTGTGTTTACTCAGGATAAAGCAAAACTAAAAATCTGCTAAAAGCAGAATAAATTAAACAAAAGACAAACAAATGATGAATTATAATTACTTTAGGAAATGGAACAACCTCAATACGGGCTTTTTCTATGCCTGTAGGATCACAATTTAATTTTTGACTTTTTGATATGTGTTATGTGAAGCAAAAGAAAGAGATTTTGTTCAACCGAGCAACTTTGTGCTGATATTGAAAACGTGCAAGGAAATTGGTTAAAACTAAAGTCAGGATGGTTAGGTTAGGGGTCACTTTGAACAAACACAAATGAATCGAATCGCAAATAAATTGCTTTTTGTCAGTTTTACACATAATTGTAGACAGATTACTGAAAGATGGTCATGGGCCAAGTCACGTTTATTCCTTATATATTACTTTACGTTTGCCATGCTATAATTTGGATTTATTTTCCCACATGTCTTCATCTTCAAATTATCATTGAATATTTTTTCATAATTACTTCTCATGTTTTCCCCGAAAGTAAGTCGCGAAGAAAATTTCGAAAATCTTGCAGATAATTCAAATTTGGATCAAATTTACAGTTAATGTTTCTGAAAGTAAACGGTTCTTTTATTGAGACATTCATTTATTTTTTGAGGCAGGCCGACGCCGATCGGAGATTTTAAATCGCACATTTATTAAATAAGTGGACTTTAATCAGACCTCATTTCTAATTGCAAATTAGCACTAAATTTCGAATACCTGAATTCTCTAAAACAAAATAAACCATTTCTCACGGAAGAGCATTTTTATCGAAAATTGATGAGAATGCATGGTAGCGACTAAATACAAATTAACGAGATATAGTTGTGATACATGCAAGATTGTATCAAGACGTTGAAAGGCTCATTTTTGGAGCTTAAATTTTAACATTAGTAAAAACAGTAAACTATGCAGAAGTTCAAAGACAAAGACCGCATTAGTATGCGTAGTTCACTTGTACTTACGAATGAATATATGTAGAAACGTGCAAATAATCTCATCACTATCTTAGAACTGAAATATACCCTTTGACAGAACAATATCCAAACCCACTGCTCGACTTTTAACAGTGGAGAACTTATAGTGGTCTGTTACTGAATGAAAAAACAACTTCAGAAAGATCAATTAGTTTAATTTAAATTTAAAGTCGTTTTTGTTAAGGTAACCACGGCCGCCACTTATCGCAAACTTAAGCTTAAGTCTTGAATAAGGATGGATCCTTCTATACAGCTAGCGGCGGTTCAGAGTTAAGAAGCTTCTCACGCAAGGCACTCAGGGATACTATACGTTAATACGACAATATCTTCTGTAGCATATCTGTAGTTAATATCTCAAGAGAAGTGAAGGTTCGATTGATAATAGGCTCTTGTGCAACAATTAGTAAAAAGCACCAAGTCTCCCTGCACAGTCAGGCAAATGGCCTTGAGCTGATTTAGCATATCATAGCATTCAGAATATCATAGAGTATTTCACGATATCAAAGTGATTTCCTCTTTATTAAATATGTTTTTTCACGCAGCTTGTAAAATCTTTTTGTTCCCGGGTGACTCTCGCGTGCGTAATTAAAAGGTGACGATGACTACTATGACGAGGCTTTTCCCAGCAAATGGTCCATATGGTAGGATAAATCGGAAAGACGTTCATGATTTCAATACACCCCTTAGCAACATCCTGTCAATTGACAGAAGTGCGCGTCGAATAATTCATCAACAAAACCGCGACAAAAAAGGACAGCTGTCTCTCGCTTTTGAAAAAGGGAAGCCTTTTATGATTTCATTCAATAAATATACGGCCAGCATTGCCTGACTGTGGCGCTGTTTTTGCCACAGATACTGTTGGAGTGAGATAGGCCTTTGGAGTGTAAGCTTTCTGGAGGTAAGGATTTGTCTCTATCTTTCAAAAATAGCGTCTTAAGCCATCTGCCAATAAGGACGCTACCTGCTTAAAACACTTTTTTTGAGGGTCATTTTGAAATATAAACAAAGAACGCAGCTAAACGATTATTTACTAGCGCCTTGTACAAGAACCAACGGAAAGCTACGTGAAAACTGGTGACTTTGCGGGTGTTGCTTTAAGACTCTGCTCTCTCAGGACAAGTTTTTTTTGGTCATTGCGCAATCGAAGCTAAAACTGTTCGGTTCAATGAAGCTCATTGTCATGACATTTAGTTTTTCTCAACGTCGATCAAAAGCTTTTGAACAAAAGATTGGAGAGGTGATCGATTCCACGCATGCATGAGCGATTAGGCGCGACTTGTTGAATGAGACTCACTGGCTTTTTACTTTGGCTGGCTCATGATGATGCTTAACATTCTATTCGTAAACAAAAGTGTGATTTGCTTAAAGAGTAAAATGCAGTATATTTTCGGTCTTGTTTTTGATTTGCTTTGCTGTCGCATTCAGAGTGTATAATTCTCAAAAGCAGACGATTTTTACTGGGTGTCTTAAAGACCATTTCATTTAAGAGCGGATTCATTACAAACAAAACTGCTGAATAATTGAAGATTTCATTATTATGACCTAATTCACATTAGTTCATGCCTGTAGGAAAGAAAATGGGAAATTGAAATGCAAAAATTCTTCCAAGCGCCATATCCTTCACGCAACACGAATCATTTGAATCCAATTGACTTCCTTCTTTCCCTTGGTTTCTGTAATCATAGCATAAATTAAGGGAAAAAAAGGAGTCAGGGAAGTTTACACGCGTTCAAAGCGTGAAATAAAGAGCCTGCCTCGAAGAAACGCCTCTTTACGGGTAACAAATGATAAACATTTCTAAGGCGCTCTGTGATTGGCTAGCGCTTTAAATGTCAGTCTCTCTGACCAGCTGTTTGCTTGTTTTACATCAGCTGAATAGAACAGTGGCTTGCATATCCACCGAAGTTGCTGGCGACTTCATCTGGAGGCCTCTTTTGGAGGCAAGAAGCTGGACTTCGTTCAAAAGACTCCACCACGAAGCTGGCCTTCTCAGCCTTGTGAAATTCATCTCGACATAAAGCTGATAACCAACCTCTTGGATCGAGGCGAATATACTCTCAACAAATGCTAGCGAGCAACAGGCTTCCGCTAATTCGCAGTCGATCCAAAGAAACTGTAGAGACAATGGCCCCTCAATGCAAGGCCTTTGTTCAAGAGATCGAAATCCTCTCGGACGACGAAACAGCCCTCGTTCAAGTTTCTAAGCTCCTTGGAAGCGGTGGCTTTGGCTCTGTTTACGAGGGGAAATTTCGCGGAAAAAAGGTTGCGGTTAAAAAGATGAACACCAACTCAAAAAACCCGCGAGCGGTCTTGCAGAGTTTCCAAGCGGAAACTTCTACTGCCTCGTTCTGTCATCCTTACATTGTTCGGACACTAGCAGCTTCAAGCTTAGAACGTCCTCTCTCCGAGAGAATGATAATTATGGAGTTCGCCGGTCCAAGAACCTTACGAAATATTTTGGACAATGAAAAGGAAATTATTGACGAGGAGAGAAGAATCAAATTCGCCTCTCATATAACTATGGCGTTAGAATTTATTCATGGACAAGATATCGCTCACTTGGATGTTAAACCTGCAAATATTCTAGTTGACTCCAAAGATATTTGCAAACTAGGAGATTTCGGTTGCAGTCAAATTGTGGATGATGGCGAGAATCTACCTGCTAGCCCAACCTATTCGTACCTGACAGGAACTTTCGCTTATAGAGCACCAGAACTTCTCAAGGGAGAAACACCATCCCCAAAAGCGGACATTTATTCACTGGGTATTTGTTTATGGCAGTTACTAACCCGGGAACGGCCTTATGGCTCCGAGAATTTATATGTTGTTGTATTTGGCGTCGTTGCGTACAATTTGCGACCACGTGTGCCAAGCGTCGATAAGATATCCTGCCATTATCAGCAATTAGTGGAATCACTTTGGCAGTCGAGTCCGTGTTTACGGCCAACGGCCAGTGAAACTATAGGGATTTTACGATCAATGCAGAGAAGTTAGTAAGTTAAGCTAATGGTAAGCTACTTTTAGCCGTTTTATTCCAGGGAAATTCCTCACCGTTGATGTCAAAAGGAAGCAATTAAGTTTTAATTCGATCACCAATCTCTTTCCCTCCTTTGAAATGAATTTCTTGCTTGTATTTAGATAGCAATGCGTCAAGATTAGGAAATTTTTTCAGGATTAAAAATACTACCCATGAATGTATTTTTTACTAATTGCGTTTAAATGATTCAACTTTCAGACGAAAAAAAATAGTTTTGAGAACCTTTGTTGAAATTTCCAGTCTTTCTTAAAATGAATCACTAGACAAGAGTTTTATTTTACTGCAAGGTTCCAAAGAATGAGCGCTGCCCAGAACAACCAATCTGAAGACGGTTCGCGCAAAATCATCGGTTTTTGTTTCACTGAGCAGAAATCATGACTTATTATAAATACTGTTTAGCGTATGTTGCAAGTTTTCTTTATTTAAATTCAAGCAACTATTTAATTGCATTTTGCGAAAACGATCGACCGATTTGCTATTCCAAGTTGACAAAGGCTTACATGGAAGTCCCTTTGTTTGCATAGTTTTATAGGACAATTTAGCCATTCTTCTTTTGTAGGGAGCTTGTTTCTTTCCATTATAAAGAAACAGAAACCTCAAAGGTCGTCAAAAAGTTGGATAGATATTTTCTCTGTTTTGCCCGTTAAACTCTCTTGCATCCAGTCGGAAAGGCCGTCTTACACAGAGTTGAAAGGGTGCATGGTTAAGGGAAAATATAATTATGTAGTTCAAAGGCCTCTGATATAGGCGCTAAAAGTGCTTTTTAGAATAGTGAAAGAAAATATTATGATGGCTATGCATTCTGGACGTTTATTTGTCTCAGAGCATGCCATTTTTACCTTTTTATTACTTAAACTGTAAATGCAATTTTATACTTAAAACCGTCTTAGATTAATACTTGATCGAGTAACCCGCGGAATAGACAATTGTTAAATACGAGAGCCGGGATTAGAACTTTTAAACTTTCTATGTTTCTGAAACAGGCTAAGTGACTCCATATATCATATCTACGGATATTTTTGAAACCTTAGAACAAAAAGACGTCTCGTAAAAAATATAATAACAAACTAGTTAAAATTTAATAAATTTTAAATTTATTTGAAAGGACAAAACATATATTTAAAAACCTGAAATGAAGGTTGCTAGAGGAAAGATATTTTATTCGTCCAATTATATTCCTACGAAATGTATTTCTTCTTGATACATGTATTTTTATGTCATCATGTCGCGAACGCACAGAGAGGAAGCTAGACGATTTTCAGTTTCTGTCGTTTGATTCACCTCGACACTAGTTTTACACTAAATCAATACTAGGGTAAAAATAGAACAAGCTTTGTAGATGTTTAGCATTTAAAAAACAATAGATTCAATACTTAACATAACAGAGGAACACGTGTTAGTTTAAGTGACTGCTTCCTACGAGCAAAGGTCACTGAAATTTAACCATTTCCTCAGACATATTTTTTTCTTTTAACTTTTCAATTCTCTGACTAACATTTTTTCCGCCTCTTCTTTGTAACACGTACAATTTATTCAACACAATCGTCAATTGTTGCTTCAGTTCTCCAGTAATGCGATATTTATTTAATCTTCCTTTCCCATACTGAAAACGGTTACTGCAGGTACAACTTTCTATGCATTGCAAAATGTGTTTAGAGTATCAGTGAGCATAGCATTTGAACAAAATGACTGATTTTAGTATATTAAATTTTTGAGAGATGTTTCTTGAATTTCGCAGAAACGTCCTTCACAAGAATACAGCCTTAACTTATTTATGATGGGTAAATCATTGACAAATGTTGTTCTATTTTAAACCGAATTTGACATGAATAAATTGCATTTAAAAACAGTATCGAGCTGTGTCTTGCAGATTTTTTGTACAGTCCCTCAAGTGCGAGTTTTGTTTGCGCGTGGAACGTCCTGTCTAAATCATTGTCAGTCATAGTTAATTTGATTTATGCAAATAGGAAAATGTCCTGTCGACTTAGAAATTGTGTGATGAATATGTATGTAATTTATATTTAACCCCTATTACGCAAGAGATGTGTTTTGCTCCTCTGAAACATCTTTCAAACCTTTCACCGGACGTGTTTTCCCTGGCACTGCTCTAAAAACAGACTTTTCTCATTTAAACTCCCTGGAACACAACCGTCAATGTTTCAAGTGTTTCTGCAGTAGCTAAGATTCTTTTAGAAACATAAGTATTTTTAATGTCTGAACTCTTCTTTAAGGGTTTTTCAAGATAATAGTGCACTCAAAACGTAACGCCAATATACCAGTAAGGGATTCGATCACTTGCAAGGACGGCGATAAACAGAGGATGGAGATTTTCACGTTTTTTAGCGTATTACGCTTGCTCTGCGATCACTCGAAATCCCAGAACTCCAGACAATTGCCCTTAAATTACAGTGTCTATGGAAACGAAGGTGACATTGAAAATTTTGCTCTTCTGCTGATAGCTAGCGATGAGGTGCAGGCAACAAATTTCTACAAACTGAGCAGACTAGGTTCCCGTGCGAACTGAAAGCAAATCAGAAACTCTAATCTATTTCCCCGGGCCTGTTAGAGCCGATATGAGCCGATATGAGCCGAGAATGGTCCTTATCTGTGTGGTATGAAATCCGGGGTCTTCATTATAGAGTACCAAACAGGTTCTTTCGCTTACAGGTGGCTGCTAAGGAATTCCTTATTGTGAAATATTATGTTTGACCTTTGGGGTACCTTTCTTGCCCAATCGGATAAAAATAGATTTTGTGCGTGGTTTTCGCTAGAAAAAGCTACCATGATTTCAAATATGCCATCCGGTATAGGTGTCATTCTTAAAGTTCTAAAGAGACGTCAGTGAAAAGGAGCTGAGGTAAAAGTAGCCGGGGTAGAAAGCGTAGTCTGCGCAGCTGGCGGTATTGTGTGATAAAGTTTTGGCGGCGGAGCCGAGATCCAAAATTAAGGAGTGCGGACGAGGCGTTTGAAGTTTGGTATTTCTCGAGGATTCGCCGCCAACTAACTCGACTGGTACAGCGGCTCCGCCGCCAAATCTCACTCGCCTAGTACACAATACCGCCAGCTTTGCAGGCTAAGAAAGCGTTCCCTTGCAGTTTGCGAGCAAAGAACTGACGAGGAACGAGAGTCAAAGACCGCGCGAAAAATGGCACGAGTAAAAGAGCGGCTCTCGTTCCATTTCCCGCGAGGCCAAAACCGACAATCCCGTTCCTCGGTCTCTCTTTGCTCCGAAACCAAACGGAAACGCTTGCTACGCAGGCTAATGTAAAAGAATCTTGCAAATAAAATTATCAAAAACTGATTATTCCGTGTGGGAAGGGAAACGGTTCAAAAGCGTTCAAATAGCATTTTTCCTCAGGAACACTTTCGCAGAATTTGACATAAATATGCGTTAAGGCATTTCCTAGAAAAAAAAACTTGTACTCACCAGTCAGTTAACAGTTAGTAATTTGGTTTGACCCTTTAAGTCCCTTTTAGTGACCAACATCAATTTTCTCCAAACAATATCAAGGTCTATTGAATACATAATCACGAGAAAAAGTTTTGAAAACAAGTGACAAATTCTCTTATTCGTCAAATTTGTTGGTGCACTGTTGTCGCTTGCTGTTGTTGCACAAACGTCTGCCTTTATGGCTGTACACCCAGCGAGGAAAGATTATGGAGATCGATCGTAGGCGATATCATTTGTATGTCTTTCATGTGATAACATAAGTTTCTATGGCAGATTGGATGTGCAGACGACATATCTTGCAAAAACAGTGTAGCATCTTGGCACGGCAGTTCCAGCAAGTACATCACAATACAAGAGAGAAAAATTTCGCAGAAACGTCCTTCACAAGAATACAGCCTTAACTTATTTATGATGGGTAAATCATTGACAAATGTTGTTCTATTTTAAACCGAATTTGACATGAATAAATTGCATTTAAAAACAGTATCGAGCTGTGTCTTGCAGATTTTTTGTACAGTCCCTCAAGTGCGAGTTTTGTTTGCGCGTGGAACGTCCTGTCTAAATCATTGTCAGTCATAGTTAATTTGATTTATGCAAATAGGAAAATGTCCTGTCGACTTAGAAATTGTGTGATGAATATGTATGTAATTTATATTTAACCCCTATTACGCAAGAGATGTGTTTTGCTCCTCTGAAACATCTTTCAAACCTTTCACCGGACGTGTTTTCCCTGGCACTGCTCTAAAAACAGACTTTTCTCATTTAAACTCCCTGGAACACAACCGTCAATGTTTCAAGTGTTTCTGCAGTAGCTAAGATTCTTTTAGAAACATAAGTATTTTTAATGTCTGAACTCTTCTTTAAGGGTTTTTCAAGATAATAGTGCACTCAAAACGTAACGCCAATATACCAGTAAGAGATTCGATCACTTGCAAGGACGGCGGTAAACAGAGGATGGAGATTTTCACGTTTTTTAGCGTATTACAGCTTGCTCTGCGATCACTCGAAAGCCCAGAACTCCAGACAATTGCCGTTAAATTACAGTGTCTATGGAAACGAAGGTGACATTGAAAATTTTGCTCTTCTGCTGATAGCTAGCGATGAGGTGCAGGCAACAAATTTCTACAAACTGAGCAGTCTAGGTTCCCGTGCGAACTGAAAGCAAATCAGAAACTCTAATCTATTTCTCCGGGCCTGTTAGAGCCGATATGAGCCGAGAATGGTCCTTATCTGTGTGGTATGAAATCCGGGGTCTTCATTATAGAGTACCAAACAGGTTCTTTCGCTAACAGGTGGCTGCTAAGGAATTCCTTATTGTGAAATATTATGTTTGACCTTTGGGGTACCTTTCTTGCCCAATCGGATAAAAATAGATTTTGTGCGTGGTTTTCGCTAGAAAAAGCTACCATGATTTCAAATATGCCATCCGGTATAGGTGTCATTCTTAAAGTTCTAAAGAGACGTCAGTGAAAAGGAGTTTGAGGTAAAAGTAGCCGGCGTAGAAAGCGTAGTCTGCGCAGCTGGCGGTAATGTGTGATTAAAGTTTTGGCGGCGGAGCCGAGATCCAAAATAAGGAGTGCGGACGAGGCGTTTGAAGTTTGGTATTTCTCGCGGATTCGCCGCCAACTCACTCGACTGGTACAGCGGCTCCGCCGCCAAATCTCACTCGCCTAGTACACAATACTGCCAGCTTTGCAGGCTAAGAAAGCGTTCCCGTGCAGTTTGCGAGCAAAGAACTGACGATTAACGAGAGTCAAAGACCGCGCGAAAAATGGCACGAGTAAAAGGGCGGCTCTCGTTCCATTTCCCGCGCGGCCAAAACCGACAATCCCGTTCCTCGGTAGTCTCTTTGCTCCGAAACTAAACGGAAACGCTTACTACGCAGGCTAATGTAAAAGAATCTTGCAAATAAAATTATCAAAAACTGATTATTCCGTGTGGGAAGAGAAACGGTTCAAAAGCGTTCAAATAGCATTTTTCCTCAGGAACACTTTCGCAGAATTTGACATAAATATGCGTTAAGGCATTTCCTAGAAAAAAAACTTGTACTCACCATTCAGTTAACAGTTAGTAATTTGGTTTGACCCTTTAAGTCCCTTTTAGTGACCAACATCAATTTTCTCCAAACAATATCAAGGTCTATTAATACATAATCACGAGAAAAAGTTTTGAAAACAAGTGACAAATTCTCTTATTCGTCAAATTTGTTGGTGCATTGTTGTCGCTTGCTGTTGTTGCACAAACGTCTACCTTTATGGCTGTTCACCCAGCGAGGAAAGATTCTGGAGATCGATCCTAGGCGATACCATTTGTATGTCTTTCATGTGATAACATAAGTTTCTATGGCAGATTGGATGTGCAGACGACATATCTTGCAAAAACAGTGTAGCATCTTGGCACGGCAGTTCCAGCAAGTACATCACAATACAAGAGAGAAAACTAAACATTCAAATGCCACGAAACGCGCTAGTTTGACAAAGACTGGTTAAACTAATTTCTTGAAGATGATATTCGTTATAGTCTTGAAGTTGTTCCGCATCCCGGGGGGGGTTACTCAACAAATGTTTTTACTGGGAGGCTCTGCCCCGAGGTCCAACCCCTTACCCTTTTATATACCATTTTTCACGAAAAGGTATTTTATTTATTTATTTGATTTTATTATTTGATTTTATTATTTGATTTTATTATTTTGCCAAACACAATGAATTACAGGCAGAATAAAAACGATAATAAATAGGTTAATTAACATTAAATTTAAAATTGTACATTACTTGGGAGGAGTGACTGTGGCGGGGAAATCTCCGAGAAGCCGAGCTTATGAGGAGTAGAGATTTCCCCCCACGGGCAATATAAATACTAGGCGGCATTTTAAGAAATAAAGAAAAAAGTCCTTTATTTAAGTATATAAGTGTGTTTAGAGGAAAATATAGATATGAGGTGTTAAGGTATTTAGGTTGCATTTTGTCTGACCATTAAAAATGGTTTGATCACACGCTTGAATATACTAAAGGACGGGGCATTTTTGATGTCGTTCGGGTACCCCTTTCGTATACATTCTATTGAAAAATGCTACCCCTTTCACACACCTTGTCATATAAAAGATACCTCTTTCGGGCGGAACCATCATAGAGAGTACCCCCCCCCCC